CCACACTATAAAGGTCCTTTTCCCGGTACATTTCACTTATTTTTCTTTCTTTATCATGTCTTTTGATGATGCTTAGCTATCGTAGAAGTATTATACTTTATTTTCCCGTCGCGATATTTTTTACAGGTACTCTGTTGGACAGCGTTGGTAGTCTGGTAGACTGTAGTTTGAGCTAAATTTTCCTTTTCATCTTAAGGTTTTTACCTATCAGAATCTTTTTGTACGGTTCCACTTGTTTTTTATTGACCATACTATTGTTTTCGGATGTTTTACACACATCTGAACATTCATACAGGCCTATCAATCTTTGTTCCCTGCTGCTCACTGTTTTGTGAAATGTGCCACTTAATTTGTCCAATATATATATATATATATATATCCTCAGTTCAAGCAAAATGTGAGTCAAGAGGACAAGTTCTCGGTCATACTCCATATTTGTCTTCAACGTAACTGTTTCCTTTTTTTTGCTTTTGCCCTCATTTTACTCTGTGCTGCTATTAAATTTTTGTCAAGTGCGTTTGAAATTGACCTAAGGGTAATACTGATTCTTTCCTTAAAGTTCCATGTTTTAGCTTTGTTTTGGTCATTATTATCGTGTACTAAAATGTTAAGATATGATGATTTTTCGTTTTTAAAAACGTTTTCGAGACTACCACTAAATCTGATACAGGAGCGGAATTCATTCTATTTTGTTTGAGCTGATGATGTTTTGTGGTCAATTAATACAGCAAATACAAATACTCTTCGTCAACTATCTCACCTCTGGAATGTGAAATTTATTTCTGTGTTATGAACTAAGGGTACTTGTGGTAATGTGACTTAGTAGTTAACGTGTCGAGACTACGTTGCATCGCTTGGCTGCTGTGGTTGCTGATGCGACGTAGACCTTGGATGAGAATACCTTTCTGGAATCAAGGCTATGTAAAGTTAACTAGAAACACGAGGTCTACTCATTCCATTGTGAGAAAATTCGACAGTCAGTTTTCCATAACTCTACATGGAATAGGGTGAATACAGCTCTTATTAAGATCAACTTTTTCTTCCTGCTCTCTTAGCACTTGTGCGAGTAGTTATGGTACGCAGCACCCTAAGTAATATTTTTGTATAATTTCTTAGCTGAAATGTTGAGATCACATTTGATTCTCTTTAGTTCAAAATTGCGATTTACTAATTTTGCTAATTGACATGCTTCTATTTGTTTGGCTAATTTTTTCTTAAAATGTTTTTTTCTTTTGAACTTAGGTTGCAAGTCTTTTGGGCACTGCAGCCGTCTATGAATATTGTGCTCTAATACTTCAATGCATCCAATCTCCTGCTTTGATGAAGCAAGTGACTACCAAAGTTATGGAATATTTTAAAAATTTGGCTTTTACTCACTATCAACACAATCATGCTCATCAACGGCACCCACAGTACCAGCAGCAACACTTCCAGCGTGCCGATCCCTCCTCCACATATGGCATTTCTCGCTTTGATCTTGCGAGTATTGCTGAGCAGGTCCCAATCTGTAATTATAACACTGATCAAGCATATTGCAAAAATCCATATTTTTCTAACTCGTCTCATTACTACTCATCACCAGCTTCATCTCAGCAGCATCCACAACAGAAATCTATGAATCACACTTCCCAGGGACACTCGTGCAGTATTCCATCTTCCTATTGGCCCCACATAACTCAGGACATAACGACAGCCAACAATAGTATGCTTCCTATTTCCTTGGAAGGATATCAAACTAGCCAGTCCTCCATTCTTGGTCCTTCATCTCTTGATCCGCAACCCGTAGTCTCACTTTCTTCTTTTCCAAATGTATTCTCGACATCCACTGTGGAGTCCGGTAATTCGCCAAATTACACATCTCTGCTGCAATCAAGCGTTCCACCACAGGTAAGTCTTGATAATCTAAATTCTCTCTCTTCACATACAAGTCTCTGGCAGCAACAACAGCAGTTTACATCATTTGCCCATCCTGGAGGTCATCAACTAAGCAACTTTGTACAGCAACATCAGGCACAACCATATGTATCTGGAATGCATTCGGCTCCACCTTCAGCCAATTTTATGGGACACTGGTCAAATGACTGCTCTACTCAGCCAGCTGATTCTCCCTTTGTCTCCTTCATGGCTTCTAATCCCGGCACTACTGGGGTTTGCATGCAAACAGATATCAGGCAAGGGATAAATCAGCATTCGCCTTCGCAGCCGGTTATAGACACAAGAGTATCCTCTATTCCTCTTCTTTCTCCATCATCGCAGCCCCAACCACCTCAGTCTCAAACGTCTATGCCTTCAATGTCGGCTCAAGCACATAATCTTCTGATCCCTAATCGCCAGCAGACTGTTGGATCTCATTTCATTTCCAGTCAACAACCATTCTATATAATTCATCAGCAACAGCAGTATTCAGACATGCCTATAAGCGTGAATATGCCACACACATATAATAATCAGGCTTATCTCCATCACCACCCCGGCCGAGAAATTGTCGAGCGCCTCGTAAATCGGACCCATTGTCTGTAAGCTTCCTATCTTTTTCACTTTTACTTTTCTACTCTAATGCGGGTATCCTGAATAAATAAACTGTTACCTTGATACCCATTATTTGATTGGCAACCGTTTCATAAATGAACTGAACGAGGCAATTTTTGATTATTTAATAGAAACTTATTTTACTTTGATAGCTTTGGGTGATTTAAATTGATATTTGAGTTTTTACAACTGATTTAAGTAGGCCTCACAATGCCACTACTCTGTATGAAGGGTTTGTTAGTAATTTAATGTAACGTAATATTTTACTTCAAAAGAAAATTTAGTTGGATCGAATTATTGGTCGGCCGGTTTTCCTCAGATAGGCATTAACACTTGGGCACAAAACTGTGTAGCATCCTGATATGGAAGGAGGGTCCGAAAATTGTGGAATAGAAAGCATAATTGACGATAGTGTTATCTTCTCTTTATACATTTTTATGATGTTCCACTTCCCCAGTAGTTAACTTATCTTTTTTTACCTACTAAAGGATGGCAACATCAAATAAGTTATAGTGGTTTGTTCGTCTCTTCCTTCATAAATATTTGTTACTTTGAATTATATTGATGATTAATTAAAATTAATTCTTAATCAAACCTGTTGAATAATAATTTTTATGAGTTGTGTTCATTACATTCCTTTTAAAGTGATGAAGGACTAGTAATTAAATTTTTCCACAATGAGCTGACGTTTCCATTAAATTTCACATAACCTTGCTTTCACAAAATATGTTCCCATCCACAATGGACTGCAGTTTCGACCTCGCCTAGGTCTCATCAACAACTCCAGCGGGAGTCGAACCATGATAGTTCAGCGTGTAATCTCGCACGTTAACCTTGAAATTCACATCTGCCTTGTGACAAAGGGCACTCATGGCAATGTGGCGTAGTGGTTAACGTGTCAAGATTACAAGCTGCACTGTGTTGGTTCGACTCCCTCTTGGGTGTCGATAAGACCTAGGCGAGGTTGAAACTACAGTCCGCCCTGGATGAGAACACTTGGGAAAGCAAGGCTGTGTCAAGTTCAATGGAAACTACACTTCTACTCATCGTTGTGGGAAAATTCAACTACCAGTTTTTCTGGTTAACTGGCCCTCGAAAACCTACTTACAAACGGAAAAAAAATTTTCGCTTAAATTATCCCTCAATTCCTGCCGTCGATGCTACTTATTTTCGGTATAGGTAAGTGTCCTGTCTATAAGTTGTTCTTGAATAATAACTAAATCATTATAGATTACTTAAGGTGATTTAAGGGCTGATAGTCGAATTTTTCCCACAACAAGATGATGAGACCTTATGATACCACTGAATTTCACTTAGCTAGGCTCAAATCCCTTTAAGGCGCCATGCCTCAGTGACCTAGGCGAGCTGGAAAACTCAGACCTAGGGTAAGATGAGCTTTGTGAGGCAAGACTAAATGAAATTCAATGGCATTGGGAGGCATGCTTATCTGATTGAAGAAAAAAACTAAATTATCAGTCTTTAAATCACCTAACAATCCAGAAAGATGGCGAAACTAGTTTTATCGGTAATTTATCACATAAGATCAAGTTGAAGCATATATGTGTAATAGGGAGAAGTCAGCCCAGGAATCAAGAAATATCAAAGAATCTTCCGAAACATGGATAAAGAAAGATCCGAGATGGTAGGACAGGTAAGCTACTGGAAGGTGACAGTAAGATTGGCCTCGTGCTGAAAATACAATATAACGCAAGATTTGAGGGGCCATCGATACTCTGACTGAAATAAATTTAATGAACAGGAGATTGGAAGAAGGCAAAAATAGCGAAAACTTTGAATATTGTATATGCTAGCAAAAAGAAGCTTAATAGATCGAGGAATTATTTTAAATTTGAAGAAAATAAATCGCAAGAATCCTCAGCTAGATTTATATGTGCCGTATTCACCCTATTTTGCTTCGTTGAATTTTCCCACAATGATATTTGTAGACAGCATTTCCATTGAATCCCACATAACCTTGTTTCTCAAATGGTATTAACTTGCGGAATGGACTGAAGTTTCGGACTCATAGGTCTTATCAACAGAGGGTGTCCCTTCTGTGCGACCGGAACCATGTCAGAGCAGCGTATACCCTGCACACAGCTATATTTGATTTACTGGTAGTCTCGTAATTCTAATTAAATTAGAAAAATAGGTTTATGTAAGCAGGTAATAAATCTTGTTAATGAAGGAGTGTTATGAGGATACATGATAGGTGAATATCCTAGGACAGAAGAGATTTCACATCTGTTTAGCAAACAACTCATTAAATGATCTACTTCACTTGTCTCTGACGATATATGGCGTATTCCTAACACTAATAAGACTCACAGACGATTCCGGCGAAGCGTCTCGGAACGTACAAAGTCCAATATCCGAATGGAAATTATCATGCACTAAGTATATTCCTCTAGATCTTCCTGAAAATATGACAAAGTTACGAAAACACAATCAGCCAACTTCAATATTTCTCGAAGGTATAAAGACCAAGATGGTGTGGCCTTTTGTGTGGTCGCAGTCTCCTTTCGTTGAATAGAAGTGGTTTGAACTTGTTTTCGCAACTCGGTCATATTGGTAGGAAGACTTAAAGAAACGCACCTAGTCCGGAGTC